ACAGCTCCACCACATTTCATTTGAAGTGCGGGGTTTGGCAGCAGAGATATTGACAACAAAGAGATTGAATACAGACACTCCCCCAACGTGCCGCGGAGCTATTACACGGCCCGAGTCAATTCCATATGGCAGGTGTAAAAGATCTGATAACAGATTTTTAGGATATCATTTTTAAAGTCCTGATACTGGTGGAAACGGTTTCTGAACATGACATATCCTTGAGAAATGAAGCATTTTTGGAGAAGAGGAAACCTATTTAAAAAGAACTGAATTTCACCTTGCACATGTGCTTCTTGTTGTCTTTTGTTGGCAGGACAAATACTTCCTTAAGGAGCATGTGGTTGTAAAATGACTCTTCCAATGAGTCATATTAGCCACCTTTTCATTTTTAGCAGCTTGGCTGATCAGTCATCATTTCTGTTAAGAAATAATCACCTAAAGGTTCATGGATTGATTCTTGGGGAACACCTACTATATGTGTATAAAGACAATAATTTCTAATGTGTTTTTTCTTCGTGGCTCAGCTAGTCCAAGTATTTGATGAACAGTAGCTGCCATTTGTCCAGGTCTGTGTTTGACATTCTTCCATTTCCCTCCAGGGTTCCATTGCTGTATCTGCAGACTGTGGTTGGAGATGTAGTCCGAACATTAAAAGTGATGTACGGCTCTTTAGACAGGTTGGTCGGTCTTAGCTTTCCTGTGGTCCTGCTGAGAGCTTCGCCTGAAACGTCCCCTTGTGACTATCAATTTTATGCCTAATGCAAAATATACTAGAATAAAACAGTGTGTTTTACAAATTCAAAGCTAAAGGAAAAGTTTTAGCTGCTTTTCACAAAGTTGTCATTGACTGTTTTTTTTTTTTTTTACTCTCAAATACCTTTCCACTTCTCCTGTTTCTTTTTATTTGAAATATAATCATTCTTCTGTAGTTCAGTAAATGACTTCTTTGGGTTTCCATGTCACTCAGTTTTCAACATCACTGTGTCCTCCACAGTGCGTTCTGTAAGGTGGACCACACTCCCAGGTTGGACCATTTCTTCTGCCTCTTCTTCCAGCAGCTCATCCAGCCGTCTCGCTTAAGGGACGGCTCCTCAGCCCCACCCCCCGACGTCTCAGGGGCGCTCTTTCTCGATGGATTGCCGGCGGTCCGTTGGCTCACGCTTCCTCCAGAAATCAAGGTGTATTTCTGTGTGTGTGTGGAGTCTGGGAGTTGGTTTGGGGACCTAGTAAATACAAGTGTTCTTGTCGCTTCAGCTATGTGAAGTTGAATGTGTCAACTTATGCCAGGAGTCTAGCTCTGGCGCCGTCTAGTGTCCTGTTTTATAAATGATATTCCGGCACCTG